TTTTTTTTTTTTCATTTTTTTGAGATAGAGTTTCCCTTTGTCATCCTTGGTAGTGTGTCATGGCATCACAGCTCACAGCAACCTCAAACTCCTGGGTTTAAGCAATTCTCTTGCCTCAGCCTCCCAAGTAGCTGTGACTACAGGTGCCCCCCACAACGCCCAGCTATTTTTAGAGATGAGGTCTCACTCTGCCTCAGGCTGGTCTCTAACCTGTGAGCTTAGGCAATCCACAAGCCTTGGACTCCCAAACTGAGATAACAGGCATGAGCCACCACGCCTGGCCCCAAGACCCCATTTCTTAAAAAAAAAAGAGAGAGAGAGAGAAGATAGAATTTTAAAAAGAGGCAAAAGGTCAAGAGTAGTACTAAAAAAAGAAATGACAACTTATAGATGAATAAACACAATACAACTTATACATAAAATACAAGACAAACATATATTTGATAGATGCATCCACAAGGATGCAAATATGCAGAGAAAATTCTGGAAAGATACATTAAACCATGACTCCAAGAGAGGGATTAAGGGAAATTTCCCTATCAAAACAATTCTGAATTACTTAAGTTTATTACATTGCTTTGGTATTTGCAAAATAAATTAAAAACTAGGAAACAAACCTCCCTGAGATCTTCCTAAACCTCCACTTAGATCCCCCAGCATCCGATACCCAAAAGGGACTCAAGGGCCTAAATCTCTAGCAAGTTAATGCAGGAAGCTCACAATCCCTGAAGGCAGCTGCTCTGCTTCCTTGTTTTGTTGCCTTCTTTTTTTTTAAGACAGGTGTTGCTCTGTCACCCAATTGGGAGTGCAGTAGCCTCATCATAGCTCACTACAGCCTCAAACCTTTGGGCTCTACCGATCCTCCTGCCTCAAGTCTCCCAAGTAGCTGGGTATACAGGCACACACCCCCATGCCTAGCTTATTTTTCTATTTTTTATAGAGAAAAGGTCTCACTATGTTGCCCAGTTTGGTTTTGAACTCCTGGCCTACAGTGATCCTCCCACCTCGGCCTCCCGAAGTGCTGGGATTACGGGTGTGAGCCACCATGCCCAGCCTGCTTCACTGTTTTGTAATCAGGTTCTTCCTTGAGTGGATAGGAATTCCATTTGGCCCAAGCTGTTTTCAAATCCCCCAAGACTCTAGGCACCCACACAACCTAGGTCTGAGCTTGTACTTTCCCCTCACTTGCCCACACAGAAGTCCTGGAAGATGATGTCTAGAATCTCTTCAGTGCCCCCTCCACCTGTGAGCCGGGTCAGGTGCCCCCGGGCCACACGCAGTGCCTCAGCTGCCAGGGCCAGGTCCTTCGATTCCTTATAGTGGCTAAGAGCATTCAGGCAGCCCTGGAGGTGATGCTGGTGCCTTGCACGTGTCAGGAGCGGTGGGCCTGTGGATGGGTCCCCACACCTGGAAGAGATACGAAACATGGTCTCTCAACCTTTCTTTTTTTTTTTTTGTTTTTAGTCAGGCTCTTACTCTGTTGCCCAGGCCAGAGTGCAATAGTCTCCATAGCTCACTACAACCTCAAAGTTGTAGACTCAAGTGATCCTCCTCCCAAGTAGGTGGGACTACAAGCATAATAATCCACCATGCCCAGATCGTTTTTTAAATTATATGTAGACATGCGGTCACACTATGTTGCTCAGGCTGGTCTTGAACTCCTGGCCTCAACTGATCCTCCTGCCTTGACTTCCTGAAGTGCTAGGATTACAGCAGCAAGCCACCATACCCGGTCTCTTTCTACCTTTTGCAACCACCCTTTGAAGGGGAAATGGTTGTACCCATTTTATAGATATAGTAACTGAAGTTGAGAGGCAAGTGCATGTCCAAAGCCAGTGGCTCAGCCCCCACTTGAACTGGGATCTGGGAAGCTGGGGCTGGGCAAGGGGGGCTCACACTGCAACCAACTCCTTTCTCAGCATCTCCAAGAGGCTGTCCAGTCCCTCTCCAGTCAAGCACGACAGCAGCAGGTAGGGAGGCAAATCAGGAATGAGACTTGGGCTCCCAGAGGGCAGCAGGTCCGACTTGTTCAGCACCAACAGAAGGCGCTGGCTACTCTTACTGGGGTTCTGGGCTCCAGTGGGGGCTACAACCATGTCTAGGAAGTTGCGGCTGGAGGGAGAGGCCAGGTCACAGGCGTCCAGCATGGCCAGAATGAGGTCGGCCTGCTCTAGCCTGGGGAAGCAGAAAGAACCAACTGAGTCCTAACCCCAAGCAGAAAAATTACAGGCACTGAGCCAGACAAAATGCAAGATACTGGGCCAGCAGAGCATGGGGTGCAGGACAAACATGCAGGGTGGGGCAGGACCCGAACCTAATCAGAACCAAATCACTGAAGTCCCCATTTGAGGAAGCTTAGTAAATTTCTCTGATTCAGGAAGAATGAAAAATAAATGCAACAGGGAGAAAAGGCAAAGGAAGGGCCCTGTGTCCTCTTCCCACCACCACCCTGTCTGCCCACCTCTCTTGGGCACGCCGCACGCCTTCCTGCTCCACTGGCCCAATGCCCTCCCGCAAACCCGCTGTGTCACTCAGCAGCACAGGGAACCCCGCCAGGTCCACCGGGGTCTCCAGCACATCACGGGTGGTCCCTGGCTCTGGGGACACAATGGATACAGGCTTCCGGCCTGCAGGAATGTCAAAAAGGGGACAGAATGGAGACAAAGGAGCTCCCCTCCCAGTTCCCCCAGTCTGGACAGAGCTTTTCACCACTCTGACCCCTTCCCTCAGTTTCTTAGCTCTTGGCCCTGCCCCACTCAGGCCCCACCCCTGGCCAACTCCCACACACTGAGCAGGTTCACCAAGCTGCTCTTGCCGGCGTTGGGGGGTCCAGTGACCACAACATGTGCCCCTGACCGGAGCCTCTGTCCACGCCTGGCATCTCCTAGATGTGTTTGCAGTGCCACCTCCAGTGCCCGAACTTCAGAGTCCACTGTGAGTGAGGGAAGAAGACAGAAGAAGGGATAGAATGAGGGGGGCCTTAGGGGAGCTGAGATGCCAAGTGTCCTCATACCTCACCCACAGACTCACCCTGCTCCAGGACCCCCTCTTCTAGGTTGTCATCCTCCCCAAAATCGATATAGGCCTCCACATGGGCCAGAGCCTGGGGGAAGGGGAGACCAAAGGTGGTATGAGAACCCAGTTACCCACCATCTCACCCCTGATTTGGTCTAAGGGACCAGATTGGAGGATTGTAGGCCACAAGCTTTCACAATGGTTGTGGAATGGTTGAAAATAGATGGAGGGCTCTCACGTGGTAGGTGGACAAATGGAGTCTCTGAGGCAGGGAATGGGCAAATAGGAGACATGCCTTCGTGAGAGTCTCAGCCCACCCACGACAGAGGTGGCCCAGCTCCCCGTCCAGCTGCCTCAAGGCCTGCCGCCGTTGCGCCTCAGTTTCTGCATGGATCAGATCTGCCAGCCCCTCCACCTCGGTCAGGTTCAGCTTCCCGTGGGCAAATGCGCGCCTGGTGAACTCTCCTGCCTCTGCTGGCCGAAGCCCAGGCACACTTCCTGCAGGAAGACCCGGAGTCCTGAGGTCCCTAGTCCCCACCAAGGCCCCTTGGTAGAGCCAGGCCTCTGAACTCTTGGCTGCAACTCACCCAGGGCCTGCAGAACACCGCTCACTACAGCTGGGCCTCCATGCACGTGGAACTCCACGCAGTCCTCACCAGTGAAACTTTGGGGACCTAATGTGCCAGACAGCTGAGGAGGGCACAGCCTAGGCAAACTCTTAGAAAGAGAAGGCCGGCTCATGAGATCTACAGGAGACTTGGGACCTGGGACCCCTCACCTGGAAACCAGAGCACCAGTGCGCGGTCCAGAGGCTCCCCAGAGCGGGGGTCGCTGAGCAGGCGCAAGCTGGCTTTGCGGGCCGGGGGTAGGTCCCGGGGCGCTGTGAGGATCCCTAGGGCGTAGCCGCTGGCAGGGCCGCTGGTCCGGATTACCGCGATTCCGCAGCGGCCTTGGCCCGAGCTTAACGCGAAAATGGTGGTTCCGGAGTTGAGAGCCGGAACGCGGCTTCTCTGGAAGGTGCACAGTCTGGAATGCAAGAGGAGCCGAGTCATCTCTGCCTCTAGAGGTTGATCGAGAGCTAGTCAGGAGACGCTCCAGGTAGGAACTCTGCGGCTAGGGGATGCACAGATGGAGGTTCTGAGGACGAAAGGTGATCGAATTGGGAGCTCTGTGGCCACAAAGTGACCCAGGTGGGCTCTGCGGCATGGGAATGGATAGATTTGGGCTCAGAACGATGAGAATGGTAGCTCTGCAGACCTATAACCCAGGGAGTGGATTTGGGGTCCAAGCTGCACCCCATACTGTCACACCCCTTCCCCGGTCGTCCCACCTGCGAGGCCCACATGCCGCCCGGACAGCCAGGGTCCACAGTTCACGCCACATGGATTTACAACCGACAACCCACCCGCGCAACCTAGCGTGCGGCTTCAAGTCCCGGCAAAAGGCCCCGCCCACTCTGCAATGTGACTGATAAAGGGGTTAATAATTCTTGACTACCACTGGTCATTTTATGAGGAGTCCCGCCCACTGACTGAAGATCTTCGCCTCCATTGGTTAGTGAAGGGGAAAGAGGGCGGGGGCTCCACGAGGTGGGTGTAGCGAAATACTGTTCCCCAGACAACAGTAGACGGCTTATTTAGGGTCCTAGACTCGCGGATCCAAGACAACGGAAATGAGAGATGAGAGAAAGTACAGAGCTTAGCACAGGGCAGTAGAAATTACAGCGAGACGAGATTTCAAGTCCACCTGCCCACTCGGTAGCCTTAGAGGATCTCTGTGCGCTTAATGTCCCGATCCGAGAAAGGGGGAGCTACACCTCTCTGCGCCCAAGTTGAGACCAGAAGTTCAGAACATCTTAGTAACTCGGAGGGATGAGTTCTGGGAAACTCAAATCTTGGCCCAGGGAAAATCTTACCCAAACTTCTGGGAAGATTCCTAATAGCTTTTAATGGAACTCTGCAGATTCTCTTTCCTCCCTGCTTTCCCTTGCCGTTCCCTCAGCATCAGATGCCTTCCTCGTTTGACAAATTTATCCTCAAGGTCTAGCTCGAAGATCTTCTCCACCAGGAAACCTTCCTAGAACCCCCAGCACAGCCTTCTCTTCCCTCTGAGATTTCCTGGCCCTCTCTCTGGCCCAGGTCTGCACCAAGTTTCTGTTTAGTCTCTAGCTCCCTGAAAGCCAGAAAAGGGAGTCTTGGAGACCTCTTTCAGGTTAAGCCAGGACAGCATTGAACCGCATAATAAAGCGCTGATGGAGGAATTCCAGACTGGAATGGGCGGGGTCTCTCCAAGCGCCTTCGCACGGCCAATTCTCTGGTTCTTGACTGGAGCGGGCGGGCGTACGCTTGAGGTGGCGAGAAGATGCGACCGGCTATAATTCAGTTTTTTCAACTGTAAAATAGGAACGAGCGATGGCATTCTCTATTTTTGGTAGTTCCATCTGTAACAAGTATGCGACTACTGTCGCCTCGCTGGGCTCTCAGACTAACAGAATGGGCTACTAAGGGTGGTCAGAGGTAGGAGCGCCAGACAAAATACCAGACGCCCTGTTAAATGTGAATTTCAAATAAACAATGAATAACATTTTATTGTATTTATTCATTATTATTATTATTTGAGACAGAGTCTCACTCTGTCGCCTTGGGTGGAGTGCCATGGAATCATACGTAGTCCACAGCAACCTCAAACTCCTCTTTCCTCCCTGCTTTCCCTTGCCGTTCCCTGAGCTCAAGCAATCCTCTTGCCTCAGCCTTAATGTATGTAAGTGTAGGGTAACTGTGCCTCTATGTAATAGTTGGGACATACTAACCATTTATGAGTTTATCTGAAATTTACATTTAACTGGCTGGACTGCATTTTTATTTGCGAAATTGACAATTTTATCAGATCTCTTCCGAGAAGGTTGCATCCTGAAGGGAGTAGGGGTTGAGTGACGCGTGCGTGTAAAGTCTCCTACGCAGCGGAATGGTATGTACGAAAAACCATAATTTTGTATGGTTATTATTTATTTGCAGTCCTGCTTGGCCGGTTGAGTTATTGTTACCAGGAATCTCCTTCGACCAGGCCCACCCCACCCACGTCCTGCTATAGTCAAATCACGCATATCTCACATTCCAAACCGCGCCTCCAGTACCAGAGTCTGAGTTTTGCAGACGGGAAAACTGAGGCTCTGGGGCGGGGACAAGAAGGAGCCTCAGATGGAGACGAGTCAAATTGGTGCGGGCGGGAACGAGCACCAGAGAGCGAGGTGGGCGGGCAACAACGATATCCAGAAAACAACACGGGCGGAGACAGGAAGCAGAGAGCGAGGCGGGCGGGGTGAAACGAGAACCAGAGAGTGACGCCTGCCGTGCTGGGAAGGAAAATTGAGGTTCGGCTCGGGCGGGGACGAGAAGCAGCTTTCGGGCACACGAGGACGGCGGCCGGCGCGGGCGGGCGCGGCCTTTGTCTCCTCCTCCCGCACGCTCAGCGGCTGCACCCGCCCCATGAGCCCTCTGGCCCCCGGTACCCGGGCCGCTCGCAGCCCCTGACCTGACCTGTCCTCGCCATGGCCGAGACCACCTCCGGCTCTGGGGGTACGTCCCTGGAGGGCGAGCGTGGCAATAGGCCCCCGCCGGAGGGCGAGCCTGCAGCCCCGGCATCCGGAGTTCTGGGTATGTGTGCGGCAGCTGGACCAAACAGGGTTGTAGGTGCCTGGGGTACCCGCGTCGACAGGACGGGGAGGAAGGAAGGTTGGGGTCAAATGTCTCTGGCTTGGTGTCCCGCCGAGGGGCCGGCTCCAACTGGCAATGCGGCTGCGGCCGGGCGGGCAGGGCCGGGACAGTGCGGCGGGCGGGGGTCCTAGTGCTGAGATGCAGACACGCCCCTCGGAGAGCCCCAGCTTGGGGTTGCGCCCCCGCACCCTGAGGCTGCAGGATCGTGGCGGGGCAGGGATGCGATTGAGAGAGCCTCCCCGCGGAGGACACAGAATTACATGGTCCTGGGTTCAAATCCCAGCTCGACTGTGTGACCTTGAGTGCGTGACTTAAAGCCGCTCTGGGCCTCAGTTTCCTTACCTATGCAATGGGGGTAAGAACCGCACCCAGTTCATGGGGCTGCTGTAGAGACTCGCTGTCATAATGTGGTGAGGTGCTCAAGGCTGCTAGTGAGCGCCTCATCTATTGTGGTTTTGGAGGCGGAGCTGGGCCTCAAGAATGAGTAAGATTTGTAAAAGAGGACCTGGGGGAGGGCATTCCTGGAGGAGAACTCGGCTGGTGCTAGGATGTGAAGGGAGGGAAACAATCGAAGGCCAGAGTTCTCAGGGCTTTGAATACCAGGCAGAATGTTGAGGAACCCTGGCTGGGCCTGGAAAAAACAAAACTGGAGGCAAGGTCGGGTCCCAGAGTGGCCTGACCGAGGCCTGCCACGCCGCCCCCAGATAAGCTTTTCGGGAAGCGGCTCCTGCAAGCAGGTCGCTACCTGGTGTCCCACAAAGCATGGATGAAGACGGTGCCTACAGAGAACTGCGACGTGCTGATGACCTTCCCAGGTACCCACGCACGCCCGCCCGGTGCCCAGATGCAGCTCTCCTGAGCTCGGCTCCGAGAACGGGAATATGTAGGAGGCCTTGGGCCTCCGCGTGGCCAGAGCCATCGGTCCCTGTGCCCCTTGGCAGACACGACCGATGACCACACGCTGCTATGGCTGCTGAACCACATCCGCGTGGGCATCCCCGAGCTCATCGTGCAAGTGCGCCACCACCGCCACACGCGTGCCTATGCCTTCTTCGTCACCGCCACGTATGAGAGGCGAGTGCCCTGTCTCTAGCCTCTTTCTGAGCCTGCCACTCGGGTCCCCGCTCTTCCAAGTGCCAACCATACTATCCAGCTGTCCTGCATTTGCCCTGAATCCACCAAGTGCACCATCCTCAGCTTAAGGATGGTAAGTCAGGGCCTCCCTTTGAGCCCACCTCCCCTACCCTCTCTACAGCCTACTCCGAGGGGCCGACGAGCTGGGTCTGCGCAAGGCAGTGAAGGCCGAGTTTGGCGGGGGCACCCGCGGCTTCTCCTGTGAGGAAGACTTCATCTACGAGAATGTGGAGAGTGAGCTGCGCTTCTTCACCTCCCAGGTGAGGTCCAGTCCCCCGCGTGCACCTGGGGTATGTGGTGGGCTCCCAGAGCTCATGTCCTATCACACTACAGGAACGTCAAAGCATCATCCGCTTCTGGCTGCAGAACCTGCGAGCCAAGCAGGGCGAGGCGCTCCACAACGTGCGCTTTCTGGAGGATCAGCCAATAAGTGAGCAAGGCGGGCCCAGCCCTCCAATCGCAGGCACAAAGCTATTAAAGGACAACCTATCGGGGAAAGAGGGTGGGGCCTATAGCCAACCAGTCAAAGGTTGACAAAGAGTTGGGCAACCAATGAGCTGAAGGGGCGTGGCCCTAGGCTAGAATCTGGGAGGATTTGAAGGGGCGTTGTCTTAGCGAGAGGGTGGAGCTTATCGTGGGGGTCCAGACGAGGTTCTTTTCCCCATCTAAGAACACAGAGAGGCAGGGACCACGGACAGCGGCTCCACATACTATGTGGTAAAGCCCTGGGCCTTGGTTTCCCCTCTAGGATACAAAGCTGCCACAAGTTCTAACAGCGTCAACTTTGTATGATTCCTCAGACATTCGGGTCCACAAACTAATGCCAAACAACTTTATTTAAAAACATGGTACCGGCTCGGCGCCTATAGCTCAACCGGCTAAGGCGCCAGCCACGTACACCTAAGGTGGCGGGTTCGAATCCCCAGCCCGGACCCGCCAAACAACAATGACGGCTGCAACCAAAAAATAGCCGGGTGTTGTGGCGGGTGCCTGTGGTCCCAGCTACTTGGGAGGCGGAGGCAGGAGACTCGCTTGAGCCCAGGAGTTGGAGGTTGCTGTGAGCTGTAATGCCATGGCACTCTACCCAGGGGGACAGCTTGAGGCTCTGTCTCAAAAAAAAAAAAAACATGGTACCCCATTAGTACCACACCTTCTGGATTCCCTGTACCCTTATCTGCCTGCCCCTGCACTTCCCAAATTCTAAAGGAGAATTGAATGTTCTGGCCGTGCAGAGCTCCTTCCCTGAAAGAGCTTCTATGTGTTTAAGAGCAAGCAAAAAGCTGGTGACTTGGGTTTCAGACAAAGGAGGCTGGATAGGCTGGGCTCAGGATGGAGGAACTGGGGTCACCTGTGCTCATTCCCCCACAGTCCCTGAGCTGGTGGCCCGTGGGATCATCCAGCAGGTGTTCCCAGTCCATGAGCAGCGCATCCTGAACCGCCTCATGAAGTCATGGGTGCAGGCCGTGTGTGAAAACCAGCCTCTAGGTGCGGCTTGGGGGTGGGGGTGGGGCAATTCCAGCAGGTAGGCAGGAGGCGAATGGGACATACCCTTGTTCCCTGGCAGATGATATCTGTGACTACTTTGGTGTGAAAATTGCCATGTACTTTGCCTGGCTGGGCTTCTACACGTCGGCAATGGTGTACCCAGCTGTCTTTGGTTCTGTCCTGTACACATTCACGGAGGCTGATCAGGTACCAGACAGAGTCCAGGCAGGGACTGGGGGACCCAAAGGCACCCTCTGTATTGGTCTTAGCCTGGTCAACAGCTCAACTGTCCTCCACCTCCCACAGACAAGCCGAGATGTGTCCTGTGTGGTCTTTGCACTCTTCAATGTGATCTGGTCAACGCTGTTCTTAGAAGAATGGAAGCGGAGAGGTGCTGAGCTAGCCTACAAGTGGGGGACACTGGACTCACCTGGGGAAGCCATGGAGGAACCACGCCCCCAATTCAGGGTTAGTCAAGGGTTGAATTCAAGGTCATGGGAAATGGGGTAAAGGAGAGAGGATGCATTGGGTGGGAGACACTGCAGGAGCAAAGGCAGGGAGGGTGTGTTCTGGAGAGGAGGAATGGAAGCTGAATCTGAGGGACTTGGAAGGGTGCACTAGGCAGGGGCCTGGAGAAAGCAAAGGCATGGCAGAAGGAAGCTGCGTTCTTAAGATCAGGAAGCATTGTGTGAGGCAGAGGTGGCCCCTCTGGTCTCTTGATGGGCCCAATCCCTGCCCATCGTCAGGGGGTGCGACGCATCAGCCCTGTGACTCGAGCTGAGGAATTCTACTACCCACCTTGGAAGCGGCTGCTCTTCCAGCTGCTAGTCAGCCTCCCCCTGTGCCTGGCAAGCCTCGCCTGTGTCTTCTTGCTCATGCTCGGCTGCTTCCAGCTGCAGGTGACCCCTGACTCTCCCACCCTGCCCTTGAACCCACTGGGCAACCACCTACCCAGATCCACTGGGGTGAGCCATAAACCCCCTGCTCCCACAGGAGCTGGTGCTGAGTGTGAAGGGGCTGCCCCGCCTGGCCCGCTTCCTGCCCAAGGTGGTGTTAGCCCTGCTCGTCAGTGTGAGTGCCGAGGGCTACAAGAAGCTCGCTGTGTGGCTCAACGACATGGGTACGCTCTCCCTCCAGGAGGGTCCTGCTCCTCACCCCAGGGAGGAAGGTCCCCACCATCTTTTGGGATTCCTGCTGCCCTTGGGGGACCAGGACTGCCCATTCATTCTCCACCTTGGGCCCTAGAGAATTACCGTCTTGAAAGCGCCTATGAGAAGCACCTCATCATCAAGGTTGTCCTGGTGAGTCACAGCGAGCAGGCAGGGGGATAGCAGGGAGGCTGTGGGTCTATGGGGGTGGGGGGAACACAGAGAAGATTCCTGGAAAGTAAGGCATAGCAGGATAACAACTGCCTATTTCCTTCAGTTCCAATTTGTCAACTCTTACCTGAGCCTCTTCTACATTGGCTTCTACCTCAAGGACATGGAGCGCCTGAAAGAGGTGAGACTCCCACTCAAGTGGCAGTGGCCCCTGCCCCATGGCAGCCAGCAGGGGCCAGAGTTGCTGCAAGGGGTCCAAGGGCTCTCCAGCCCCTCTCCCCTCCATCCTTCTCTCCTCTCTGTCCATCTGTCATCATCTGTGCGTCCTCTCTCTGCCTGTCACCCCCAATCCGTCTGTCCACCTGTCCGTCGGTCCCTCCACAGCTCCTGCTCGTCCTGTCCCTGTCCCAGAGCCTCGAGCGGCAACTGCGGGCAGTGCTGGTCCCGCTCGCAGCCCTGCGGTTCCGCCTGCTCCTCCTGTCCCTCCGGGGCCTCCTGCTCTCGGCCCAGGCCAAAGTATGGGCAGGTGGCGAGCCACTGGGGCCTCGCCAGGGTGGGCAGTGTGGCTATGCTGGGAGCCAGGCAAGCTGAGCTGAGGTCGCATGCACAGATGGGATCCGGGCTCAGCCAACTCTGCACAGGCATCTGGTGATCCATGCGGCCCTGGCATGGGCTGAGCCTACTAAGGGGTGGAGACTTGTCATGCCTGCCCAGAAGGGTAGCTCAGAGTGCTATGGCATGCCAGGCTGTGGTTTGGGGCCAGTGTAAACAGTGGCTAAGTGCTAGGGCCTGGGTGTCCAGACATGTTCACACATGCAGAGTTATGAATCAAGTCCAGTATGTGTGTCTAGGCACGGTGCTCCTGGAGAGCATCCTAAGAGGGTGGGTGCCCTGTCCCAGTGATCAGAGCCCCGCCTACCGCCCCCCCCATGCACCTCTCTCTGCCCCCTTCCTGCCCCTAGATGCTGGCAACACTGCTGATCACCCGCCAGTTCCTCCAGAATGTGCGTGAGGTCATGCAGCCACACCTATACCGGCGGCTGGGCCGTGGCGAGCTTGGCCTGCGTGCCATCTGGGAGCTAGCCTGTGCCCTGCTTGGCCTGCTGAGCCTCCGGCGCCCTGCCCCCCGCCATCTCGAACCCCAGGCTGAGGAAGGTGGTGGTAGCAGCTGTGGAGGGGGTCGCAGGTGTCTGAGTGGGGGCTGCGGGGCGCCAGAAGAGGAGGAGGAGGAGGCGGCAATGGTGGAAAGGAGGCCTACAGGAGAAGGTGGGGAAGGGGGGGATGGGCCTACGGGGTGCACAGAGGAGGAAGATGAAGAAGATGATGATGATGAAGAAGAGGAGGAGGAAGAGGAAGTTGAAGAAGGCAGTCTCCTGGACTGTGGTCCCCGGCTAAAGAAGGTCAGCTTTGCTGAGCGGGGTGCCAGGCGGCGCCGGCCTGGCCCAAGCCCAGAGGCTCTCTTAGAGGAGGGGAGCCCCACCATGGTAGAGAAGGGGCTGGAGCCTGGTGTGTTCACGCTGGCTGAGGAAGATGATGAGGTAGAGGGTGATCCCAGCACTCCTGAGCAGGACCCCTCAGCCATCCTGCTCCGTCGGGCGGGAGGTGAGGGCCGAGACCAGGGTCCTGATGGTGGCCCAGACCCAGAGCCCGGTTCCAGCAACAACTCCACGCAGAGGCAGAGACGGCAGAACCGGTCATCTTGGATTGACCCTCCTGAGGAGGAGCACTCACCCCAGCTCACCCAAGCAGAGCTGGAGAGCTGTATGAAGAAGTACGAGGTGAGGGTGTGGGCAGGGTACACAGTCCAACGGTAGAGGCGGTGGCGGGGTTGATAATAGGAGGGCTGGGATGCTCCTGGAGGGGAGGCCCAGCTAGATGGAACAGGCTGGCCAAGGATGAGGAGAGGCCCTGGGTCACCATGGGTTGTCTGAGGGAGGCAGGCATTAACAGTGGAAGGTGGTCCAGGGGAGGAAGCGTATAGGTCTGACATTCACTGCCCACAGGACACGTTCCAGGACTATCAGGAGATGTTTGTGCAGTTTGGCTACGTTGTGCTTTTCTCCTCTGCTTTCCCTCTGGCTGCACTGTGTGCCCTGGTCAACAACCTCATTGAGATTCGCAGTGACGCCTTCAAGCTGTGCACAGGGCTACAACGGCCCTTCGGCCAGCGTGTGGAGAGCATCGGCCAGTGGCAGGTGGGAGGGAGGCTGCAGGCTCTGAGCCATGGCCTGAAGGGAGCCAGGGGGCAGCAGGGAGGATCTGGGGATGCAGGAAGACCCACCGGTCTCCACCTGAGCCCCTCCCTCACCACCCAGCAGAAGGTGATGGAGGCCATGGGCGTCCTGGCGATCGTGGTCAACTGCTACTTAATCGGCCAATGTGGACAGCTGCAGCGCCTGTTCCCCTGGCTGAGCCCAGAGGCAGCCATCGTGTCTGTGGTGGTGCTCGAGGTAGGGCTGATGGCTGGGGCCAAGGGGGAGCTGGGCAGCAGGAGGGCAGTCTCAGAGCCTGCAACCTCCTCTCTGCTATCCCCACAGCACTTTGCTCTGCTCCTTAAGTACCTCATCCATGTGGCCATCCCTGATATCCCAGGCTGGGTGGCTGAGGAGATGGCCAAGCTGGAGTACCAGCGCCGTGAGGCCTTCAAGGTATGTGAGCCAGGCCAGGTTCACTTCACTAATTTGCTCAGTGGGGCTTCGGATCTCAGAGCTTGGATCTCAGATCTTGGATCTTGGCAACCAGTTCCTCAGTGTAAGGGCAATTGCACAAATGACAGTGACAGGGATGATCATTAGTGTTCACAATAGCCTGGTCACTTCCAGTATCCTGGTGGCATCCAACACCAGGCTGGCCTTAAGAACATTCATCATCTGCCTGCTCTCCTGACAGCACCCGCATTGGGGGCAGGGATACAACAGATGCTTCTGGAAGTCTAGCCTCTTCCTCATTCCTCCAAAAACTGCAGTGAGTAAGGACATTGAAATGGTGCTGGTGCAACTGAGAAACTAAATCTTTTTTTTTTTTTTTTTGTAGAGACAGAGTCTCAGTTTATCTCCCTCGGTAGAGTGCCATGGCATCAAACTGCTCACAGCAACCTCCAACTCCTGGGCTTAGGCGATTCTCTTGCCTCAGCCTCCCAAGTAGCTGGGACCACAGGCGCCTACTACAACGCCTGGCTATATTTTTGTTGCAGTTTGGCCAGGACTGGGTTTGAACCCACCACCCTGGGTTTATGGGGCCGGCACCCTACCCACTGAACCATCACTCAGGTGCCACCTGAGAAACTAAATCTTAAGGAATTTAAATTTATATTAACAACGGCTTGCCGGTTGGATGATACAGACTGTAGTCAGCTCTAGTCACAGCTCTTTCTGGTACATGGCTGGCCAGGGACAGAGTTGGTGGCCAGTGAATGTTTTCTTTTCAATTCTTCTCAATTCTCAGAAAGCACTGGCATGGGTCCAGGGATGCACATAGCATCCAATAGTATTTGGATCTCTTACCCCCTTTCTCAAAGAGCCCCGGCATGGGCCCAGGGATACAGTTGGCATCCAATAAGTGTTCCCACTTCTGTGGACTGCCCTGGCTCATAAGTGGCCACAGCTGGCGCCTGCTAACATACCCTTTCTAATGGCCTGGCTCTACCCACAGAGACACGAGCGCCAGGCACAGCACCGCTACCAGCAACAGCAGCGGCGGCGGCGGGAGGAAGAGGAGCGCCAGCGCCATGCAGAGCACCATGCCCGACGGGAACGTGATGCCACCAGTGACCGGGATGAGGCGAGAGCCGAGGGCTCTGGGCTAGACCCCACTGCCTCTGAGAAGGGCCCTGCCAAGGCCAAGGGCGGTGGGGCAGGCAGCCATGGGCCCGAGAGGCCCAAGCGCCCAGGGTCCCTATTGGCACCCAACAACGTCATGAAGCTGAAGCAGATCATCCCACTGCAGGGCAAGTTTCTGTCTTCAGGGGCTGCATCCTCAGTGGCTGCTGCAGGGTCCAGCACCACTGCCCGGCCACCTCCTGCCCAGTCGCCCACAGGCGGTGACACACGCCTGCCAGCCTTCCTCAGCTTCAAGTTCCTCAAATCTCCCGAAACACGACGGGACTCTGAGCGCAGCCACTCTCCACCCAAGACCTTCCATGCCGGAAAGCTCTTCCCCTTTGGTGGGGCCCGGGCTGAAGCCGGGTCCAACGGGGCAGGTGGGCAGGCCCGGCCAGACGGGACCCCCAGTGGTGGCAGCAGCCGAGCCCAGAGGAGTGGGTCAGTGGATGAGGCCATGGCTGAGGAGCTGGAAGCCCCCCGGCCCGAAGAGGAAGGCTCAGGTCATAAGCTTTAACTCGGGGGTGGGGACGCCGGGCCGGCTTTGGGGTTAGGGGTGGGTGGCCAGGCCTGGGAGAGAGGCCAGAGGGGCCAGAGGACCTGGTCTCTGATATGGGTGGGGACCTGGGTCCATAGTACATGGAGTCAAAGCCTTCTCCTTATCTCTGGGCCCTCTGACAGCCTAGAGCCCTGTGCCTACCCATCATATCCAGGGAGGGACACCAAAGCCCACTGTCCCAGTACCCTTCCCAGGGCATCCCCATCATGCTGCAGTGGCAGGAGAGATGAGGACGGCTCCTTCACCACCTGGCCCACCCTCTCCTGCCCCCACAGGCCCCCATACCCAGCTCACTCTGGGGGACATGGACCCCCAGGCCTCTATGCAAACCCCCATCCTGCAGCCCAGCTGTTCAGGGAGGCCTTCCTTGGAGGTGAGGTGCTGGGACTTACGCACCAGAGGAGCACACAGCATCCAGCCACAGGTTACACTCATGTGTGTGCTGAGCAGAGGTCGAGGGCTCACTGCCTCCAGATTCCCTGTCCCTACCACCTCATCCACGCTAACCCCAGCCCCAGGGAACCTAAGAGGTGGCAGCAGTGCAGAAACATAGATCAGAAGCCAGAGGGACTTCCTCAAATGTCATTTTTCATGAGGATTGGGTGGAGCCTGTGCCCAGAGGCAGGGGTTTTTTTTTGCACCCAGAGATTCTCACCCCATCTCTGATCTGAAGCAATAAGGCCCTTCATGTGCCTGGACGTCCGGGAGGGAGTGCAGGAAGGGTCGCCAGCCCGGCGGGGTCCGGCACAAGCGGCATCCCCCCGGAACGGCCCCTCTCGCCTCCGCAGGGACTTCGCTGGCCCCCATGGGCACCCCTGCCCTCCGTACCCGCTGCAGCCAGAGCCCTGCTCCACCACCGCCGCCAATGCTGCTGCCTCGGCCCCCGACGCCACCTGCCAGCTGCTGGCAGTGGGATGGGCCGTGGGGCTGTGGGAGCGAGGGCACTGCGCCTCGCCAGGCCATGGCCGCCGAGTGCCCACCCTGTGCCCTGACCGGGCCCCCACCTGCCCTTCAGCCCCTGCCAGGGGACGCCAGCTTCTACAGTCTCCCGCCCCCAGTGGCCACCTCTGATTCCCCTGAGCCCCAGGCACCTAGCCCCAGCCCCAGCCCCCAGGCCGTATGCTGGCCCAGCGGCTGGCATTAGCTCCACCCTCCCTCTCTTTTCTCATATGCAACATCAGTCATTCACAGAGGTGGTCGGCCCAGAAAACGCAAAATGCGCTTTGGCCCCTGATGGGCCCCAGTATTGGCCAGTGCCACCCCATCTGCCGTTTTCCTTGCTACCAGTATGGGGTAAATGAAAGGAAACCCACAAACCCAACAGAAAACACACACACAGAATAGGCAATTATTTATTTGTTTTTAATTTATTTTGTCATATTTTTGTAAAACGGCAGAAATGCAATAAAAAATATATTTCAACAGTACCAGAGGTCAGAGCAGTACGGGTGCTCAAGGGAGTTGGGGCCTGGGGTGGGTACCCTTCACGTCCTGGTACACACCATCTTGGCCCTTAGGGGCCTCCTTCTAAGAATTGGGTCTTGGGGCCATAAATAGAAAACTCCACATTGCACACCTCTGAGACAAGACGGCCCAGATTTTGGGGCTGACTACTGCTCTGGCTTCAGCCATCAAGGCAAAGGAAGAAATCTCAAATTGCAGAAAAGTGTCAGCAATTTGGGCAAAAGGCTTGTGTCCTAAATAGGCCTCAGCCTCAGACAGGGACAGAAGGTTGGTTAGGAGGCAGCATGTTCTGGCACGCTTGTCTCCTGGAACGCCACCTGGGGTTCTAGGGTAGCAGGAAGAACTTGAGGTGTGAACATCAGAAGGCACCTGGCACCACTGACCCTCAGAGTCCCAGAGTTGCAATACTGAAATGACACATCTGGGGATCCCCAAAACAGACACAGGATAATGTCAGGGAGCAGTTAAGATGTCCCACTATGGGACAGATGTCAGACCCAAGTCACTGGGACTCTGCTATGTGACTCAGCAATGGGAACACAAACTCTCAGACCTTTAGGTTTGTCTGGAAAGGCTAAGGGCTCAGAGCCTGATGTGGCTGTGTAAAAGGGTAAGGCCGGAGGGACAGGCTGGAGGAGCCAGTGTGCGGAAGGGGCACTTCAGGAGGCTGTGGAGAAGTCAGGGCACACTGAAGGCAGAACAGGCTGTGCAAAGGCAGATGGGTGTGGGAAGGCTGAGTTTGGGGTCTGAGGGAATATCGGGGTCTAAAGGGCCCCAAAGGCAGGAGGGGTGGGGAGACACCGGCTTAGGGGCCTGGGCTCCATCCAAAGGCAGTGGGAGTCAGGGAGGGCATATGCCCAGGGGCCTATCATGACAGGTCCAGGAGTTGTGGGGGGAGGTGACAGGGAGACTTAAGTGGGACAAAGCCATCGACCCCCACCACCACCCGAGGGAGCTGAGGAAGGATGGGCCACCTGGCAGTCACAGCAGAGCTGGGTTGATAGCAATGACAGTAGACAGAACCCAGCCCCTCAGAACGGGATGTGGGGACCAGAAAGGCCTTAGCAAGGGGAAGGGTGGGGTGCTGTCTGCTCCCACTCTGCATTCTGGCCTTCAAAGCTGAAGTCCCACTATCTATCTCAGTCACTAACAAATGGTGATGCCACAAGCTTGCCCAGTGTCAAGACTAAATCCTGGGACTGGGCATTCCCAGCTGGTCTGTGAACCTCTAGGGAGCTCAGTCCCACCCAGCATGATCAATCACTGTCGAGCTTGTATTTCCAAAGCATCTGCCCTGGGACTATAGGTATCCACAACGTAGACACCCCCAACAGCTGCGAAGCAAAGCCACTTGGCCCCATGACAGAGCTGGGTGGCTGCACTGGGCCAGGGCTGGCTCCACCACTTCTTACATGTGTGACAGGAACCAACCCTAGCATCATCCATCCCTGGGAAAGCTAGGTAGGCCCCTCCACTCTGTAATGTGGCTCAGACACTCACCACCTCCAAGGCCCAGAGTACTCAGCTCCCAAAGCCAAAATCCAAGAGCCTCCATGCCCTCTACATCCCCAGGCTCAGACCCAAAACTAGCACACCCTACTGGGTGAGGGGCTCCTGTGAGTGGCCATGGCACTTAGTATACCTCCTCTCTGACCCTGGGCTGGCCACACAGGCCAAATGCTGTCTCTGCTGTCACCACTGGCCCCTAGGCAAGGCTGGACCATCCCCACAGTGGTTGGTGAGTGTGCTGCCCTGCTCAGTAGTATCCTGTGCACGGGACTGACCCCAGCTCCATCTTCGGTACCACAGACTGTCTCTCAGGGAAGATGTGGTCTTCAGGGCACCTTGACAGGGGAGGCAGAGGGGCTGTTCCAGGCAGATCTTGACCTTGAAAATGGTGACTGCCGCAAGCCCACCAGAGAATCCAGCCGGTGGCCCCTGAGGCCCCAGCACTGGGGCCCTTCTCACTCCTCTTGGTGATGACAGGATGCCTCTGTCCGCTGGGGCTGAGGTATGTGGAGCAAAGACTCAAGGTCGAGTAGGAAAGATCCTTTTATTGGGGTGGACACGGAGCACACACTAGTCCATGATAAAATGACTTAAGAGTAAGATCCAGAAGGGCCGACTTCTCCCCTGCACAGATGCTCAGAGTGAGGTCTGGGCATGGAATAGTTCCCGGTGGAAGTGAGACAAGGCCGAGTCTCAAAGGCCTGCACCGGTGGGTGGGAGGGGGGAGAAGGCTGCTCAGCTGTCCAGGGGGCAAGGCAACCAGCCTCCACCCCTGCCGCCCGGCCACAGCAGAACCCCCAGTGTGAAACCCTCACAGACAACTCTGGTTCTCTGGAGGGGGGGCGGGGCAGGAAGGAGGAAGTGGCAAGGGGCAGGAGTGGGAAGAAGGGTGAGGAACAATGTTACTGTTGTTTTTTTTTTTTAAAAAGCATCTAGCAACATCATACTACTGGGTCTGACATCCCCTTTAACCAACGCTTGATACATGTTACAGCATAAATAAAAACTCAAGGAAAATAAATACATCAGCTCCTATGAGGTTGGAAGTGGTATGGACGGCGGGGTGTGGGTGGGTCAGCAGGGAGGTGGGTGGGGTGCTTACACACGGTGGACAGGCAGGCGGGCGATCGAGGAGCAGACAGGGCCAAGGCACCTGTAGGGAGTGAGTCTTAAGTGTCCTCGTGCATGTCTGGGCTGTCGGTCCGTGCCACCTTGCGAGGAGGCGCTGAGCTCTCGCCTTCAAGTTCCACTTGCTCCTGGTCTCTCTTCTTGGCGGCGTTCTGGGGGATAGAGGAAGACAAGGCTGTGAATCTTGCTGCCAGCTCAGATTCCTGTAGCAGCATCACAGAGCTGGGCCTGAAGTAGGCCAATGTGACACCAGGAGCCCTGGTGAGGCACCCCCCCACCCCCAACCTCAACACCAGGATCTGCCATTAAGCTCTACTCAGAGCAACCCTTGGACCCATGGCCATTGACAGGAAGGTGTTCCCTGGACACTTCTAGGGCTTACCACCACCATTTGCAACAACCCACACACAGACAGTTTCTCAAACACTCAGAACAGTGATCCACCAGCCTGAGGGCAAAGAGTACTCAGGAGGCACCTGGAGACATTGTTATGGAAGAAAAAAGTACTCAGGTCTGGGAAAATCCCCTTTCCCAGCTGGGGGAGAATCAAAGCCTGAGCAGCTGGGGAGGAGGAGGGGTGGGCCCTAGTCACTGTCAAATGTTCAATGTTACTTGAAAAAACAGATTGATCACTGGGCATGGTGGCTCACACTTGTAATCCTACCACTCTGGATGGCCAAAGCGGGTGGAATGCCTAAGCTCAGGAGTCCAAGACCACCCTGAGCTAGAGGGAGACCCCGTCTCTCAAAATAGCCAGCAGGCATTGTGGCGGGCACCTGTAGTCCCAGATACTTGAGAGGCTGAAGCAAGAGAATGGCTTGAGCCCAAGAGTTTGAGGTTGCTATGAGCTATAATGCCAGGGTGACAAACTGAGACTCTGTCTCCAAAAAGAAAAACAGAAAAAGAAAAAACAAATTGGCTCAGCGCCTATAGCTCAACCGGCTAAGGCGCCAGCCACGCACACCTAAGGTGGCGGGTTCGAATCCCCAGCCCGGACCC